ATGGGAGTAGAAAGCTGTTTCATCACGCAACAGGACCATCCTTTTGTTCAGCATTATATCCCTTCACCACCTCCTCCTTAGATGAGTCGTCACTTTCCACGGCCACAATGGCTTTAGGTTGCACACCTCTCTGGGGGAACCATTCTGATGGACAAAGCAGCAGACCATAATAATGACTGATACCCTTATAAAGGAGGTATTAGCAGACTCCAGGTCAATGCCAGAAGCTCAAATGGCTGCTCACAGGTTGCCCAAATGAGCAGGTGGCACTTGTTTCATCACTTGTGTACTTCTGTCTGGAGCTCTCCTAACAGGGTCACATGTCTTTAAGGAATATCCCCTGTCCCTTTGGATCCAGCCACAGACTTGGGAGGACAGATTGAAGATCCGAGACAGCATGACTTGGTAAGTTAAAGGTAAAGTCACCATAGTTTTACTGGCCCATGTGGCTTCTCTCTCATTAGAGAGGCACAACTGGTGGAGGTTTAACCTGAGGGTCACAATAGCTCAGGTAAGGGGAGAGGTTGAGAAGGAGAACCCTTCATGGTAACCTCAACTGGTGCCAGAACTGAACCCATCATTGATCGCTGTCGACATCACTCTGTATCACAAGCCAACCACCCAGCCTGACTTGGAGAAGGATGAAGGACACATGACAGCAAAGTAAGTGCACACATGGCAGATGTTCTTGCTGTGTTGCAGACCAACTGAATGTTGACAGTGGAAACATGTCCTGCAGAAGACTTTTATTAGCTACTTACTCGGCATGTTGATGGCAACCTGGGTGCGACTGATAATTCCCCAGCACTGGCAGTGAGGGAGGGGGCAACTCAATGCCCTCTGTCCCTGCAGGGCCACGCCTGTTGAGACATGAACCTGTTGTTTCTGAGGGAAAAGGGCAGTGAGAAGTGGTGGTATGCAACAATTTGCATGATGCCACCAAGGTCCACAGCTGATATTTGAAAGGAGGCAGAAATGAAGATGTTCAAGGCTACAAGCAAGGCAGATGAAGTCTGAGGCCTTCAGCAATGAGGAAACAGACTCTTGGCTGCAGGGTCAAGCCTCCTGGAATACTAGTTGTTGTGCATCTCCAGCTATCTTCATCTTAGGTATTAGCTCCTGTTTGGGTTTGACATCTCTTGCCTTCTTGCCCCTCTTTCCTCTTCCATGTCATCTGTTTCCAACACTTCCTTGAAAGATATTATCATTCGTTATCACAGGATCTAATTTAGATAGTTGTATTCCCAATGCTAACTGCAGCCTTCCTATTGGACTGGTGGTTCCTAATTGCTAATTACAGGCTTGTTTCTGCTCTCCTTCCTCCAATAGCTCAGAAATTCATGATCCAGCTGGAAGGCAATGGTGAGTGCCCTGGGCCAACAGCATCCCCCCACCAAGTGCTACAGCACCCTGTTCCAGATCCTCTTATAAGCAGGTCTAATATCCATTAGACTCTAATGGAGGAGCTCTGACTGGCTCCTTATTTTTTACCCTTCTCCCATTCAGTTCATCTGAACAGAAAAGAATCTCTTGTGCCCCTTTAGAACTTTCATGCTTTAACTTCAGCAAACTCCTAACTTGCCTTTAAACTGCATGAAGTGTCCTCAACACAGCAGAGTGTGGGACTCTATCCCACCCTGCTTAACAATGTGGATACTTGGGACAGCATTCTGTAACTAATACACTGGCTTGTGCCGGTCTTTCTCTGAGCACCTATCCCATCCCCACCTCTATTTCTACTTTCATGGGTGGAAGGAGAGGCTGAAAATGTAGTCTATTAACTCGTTTATCTCACAGATATTCCCTGACTTGAGTGTTCATAGTGTATTCTACTTTTCTGAAAAGTTCAAGTCATTCTCCAAATTCTGGAAATTGACAATCAACAATCACAAAATTGTTTTAGTGCAGAAGAAAACTATTTGTCCCATCATGTCTATGCCATCTCCCTGAATGAGCATTCCACTTAGTGCTATTCTCCACACTTTTCCCTTTAATGTTATACATTCTTCCTTTTCAGTCGGCAGTCTGATTCCCTATTGTAGGTCTTGATTAAACTTGCCTCCACCACATTCACAGGCACTGCTTTCCAGATATTAACAACTCATTGCGTTAAAAATGTTTTCTTTCTTATTTCAGTACTGCTTCTTTTGCCAATCATGTTAAATATGTGCACTCTCATTCTCAATTCTTTCATGAATGAGAACAATTTCTCCTGATCTGTTCTGTCCAGTCTCCACATGGTTTCGAATACCTCTACCAAATCTCCTCTCAACCTTCTTTTCTCCTTGGAAAAGGAATGATGACTTTTCCAAACTATCTCCATAACTGAAGTTCCTCATCCCCAGAATTCTCATGAATCCTTTCTGAATTCTCTCCAGAATGAGTGGGGCCCAGAACTGGATGCAATACTGAGACCAAACTAGTGCCCTGTGTTCCAACCATCTTGCTCTTGCATGTAATTCCCTGAATAAGTATAGCCTCAGATGCTGTATGTTTTATTAACTGCACTCTCAACCGGTTGTGCCACTTTCAATGACTTCTGCACAAATATACTCTGGTCCTTCTGCGCCTGCACCCTCCTTTACAGTTCTACCCCTCCTTTCATATTTTCCCTTCATGTTCTTCCTACCAAAATGAATCATTTCACATTTCTCTGCATTGAATATTATCTGGCATCTGTCCACCCACTCCACCAACGTGCCTATATTATTTTGAAATTCTACGCTTCCTCCTCACAGTTTAAAATGCTTCCGAGTTTCATACCAGCTGCAAATTTTGACGTTGTGTACTGTATAACAAAGTCCATATCATTAATATATATCAGGAAAGTCAAGGACCCCAGTAACGAACACTGGGGAACTCCATTCTGGCCCAAAAAACACTTCTGCTTCCTCTCACTTAGACAATTCGATTCCCAGGTTGTTACTATACCTTATGTGCCATGAGCTATACCTTTGGCATTTCTATTGTGAGGCATTCTATCAAATGTCTTCTTGAAGTCCTTGCATACACATCAACAGCATTGCCGTTATCAATCTTTTCTGTTACCTCTTCTTTCTTGCTGAACAGGAAACACAATTGCCTTGAACACACACTATGACTCACACTATTGTGTTTTCTCTCCACAGATGTTGCCAGACCGGCTGAGTTTCTCCAGCAGTTTCTGTTTTTATTTGTCCTGAACACATTTGAGGAACTCTTGCCTTTCTCTGCTCTTTACACTTCAACCATTTCAGCCTATATTCAGATAATACCAAAATACAACTGCTCTATAACTTTTGCACTTCCCTGTAAAAACTAAGAGAGAACACTCTTTCAAGCCTTCAAATGAAATGCATATATTTCCTAAACACTTGGGAATTTAAAACATACTCAGGCAATTCATTAGAGTTTTGCTGGTATAATTTTTTTTTTAATCGACTTTAGGCCAGCTTTTAAATTCAAATAAATGATATGAAAGAATATTAAAATATAGAAGTGTACCAAGTAGCCTAGTGATAGCAAAGTTTGAATGATAGGTATTGTGATAGTTTAATCTGGGGGAATTCATTAATTCAGTGATCTTAAAACACAAATGATTAAGTCATCTCTGATATGCAATGAAACCCTTGAGTTATAATGTTCTGACTCAGTATCCATTCTTTTGTTTAAATAATGCATGCTAAAATTTCATTTCAGCCCATTTTCATGTGTAGGAGTCATGGCTCATAACCTGCCCATACATGCTGCCATTAAGACTGGTAGAGAACAGGCTTGGTGCTGCCTCCTCATTTCCCTGATTATATGGTTGGTCTGAATGATACTCGTCTCACTGGCTGCCCGTGTCCTCAGCAGGGACTGAGTATTGTGTGCTGATCTCATGTGGTACAACCAAGATCTTAAAGATAATCGCTCTCTCTTAAAGGGAAGAGAAATGATGCTGACTCCGTGTGACTGACTGCATTTAGGAGCTGCAAAAAATGGAGCACTGGGGAAGACTGAAGGCTCCCAGGTTCACAGCTGCAGAACTAGGGATTTTCATCATGAAAGTGGATTGTGGGACAGCAGTCATGTTTACAGTGTAGAGGTAGACAATGCTCAAGAACCACTCACCAAAGGAATTGGGAGTTGGTGGAGAGAGAGAGATCAATGCAAGAAATCTGGCCCGAAGAATTGGGCAGCAGTGCCCCAAGAAATTTGATTACCTCATGTTTGTAGTCAAGCTCAGTGAATGAGTCTTTAAAACACCTCATATTCCCTACATGGCTATCATCATCCATTGCACCACAGCCCTGACACTCACCTGTCAGGACTCCCTGACACTCAGGGCTCATGCCTAACATCCAGATATACCGTGTTACTCTCACAAACATTCCAGCAATACAAACTTAACATTAGCTCTTTCTGCTTCTAAAGAGGTTCAGCTATTTAGCCATAGCATACACATAACCCAAATACACCACAGAAGAATCACTGAGATCTTTCCTCCTTTAATGCAGGATTTAAAAAATCCTCTATTCCCATTTTCTTCCCCTAAAGTCCTTTTAGGCTCAATACACTGCAGACACACCTATTTCAAGTACCAAAGCGAGGGCACTGTTGGAGGACCAACTTGTCTATATTAATACCTTCAGTTGCAATATTACTGGATCTTTCTTCTCTTTTCCAGAGCCAGAATGAAAAATTCCATCATGATTATTGTTTTAAGGTTAGAAAGGAAAATTGGGCTTGTGCTTGAAGTTAGAGTGACATGCAGAAACATAGCTCGGATGAAAGTTCAGTACCAAGCCCACTACTTTGCGACCCTTTGCAATCTCCTAGAGAAACTCCATTGCACTTAATTTCCATTGTTTTTACAGCTGTTTCACAACAAGGTATCGAAACTATGATACTGTGATCAGTAATTACTGGTGTGAAATAATTTCAACAGTAATGCAACTTTCAACATAAACACTACTCGCAGCATTTTAACTTTTTCTTTCTACCACTGTATTCGGTTAAATGAAGAAGAAGTTGCTTACTTTAGTCACCAGCTTTAAAGGGCCAGTCAAGGAACCGAGCTTAAGAAAAAGGAAAATGCAGCATCGGATGATTTCCAAAATAGCTACTTCAGATCTGTTGACATCGGAAGAAACACAATTAGTGATTAGTGAACATTAACAAAACTAAACTGCAAAAATAAGCAGAACCATGCATCTTTACTCATAACAGTAAAAATGAAGACACAAAAGTGATCTACCAACACAAATAGCAAAAGATACAAAGCATGTGAAAGTGAATGAGACTGATGTAATGGAAGGAAGTTTTAAATGACAGATTTAGATCATTTTCAAATTGTTCAATTCTTGTACATATAACAACTGAAAAATCAAGTGATAATTGTACCAACAGCTACAGGCTGAGGTGATTTTCATACCATAAGATGCAAAGTCAAACCACTTAAAAAGATATTACTTCCAGGAGAGGAAACTGGTGTCAGGCCATTTTGCAAGGGATGGATATTAATGTAATGTCACTTTAGAAAGCCAATGGATTGTCTCAAATGGTATGTCAACTCATTAGGAATCTTTTCCTAGTTTAAATGGGAAAGAACTTGAGAAATGACAGACAAAAACAGAAATAGAACCCATGTTTAGGAATAAGATTGCAGATCAGACAGAACATGACAGCAATGCTTCATGTTTGCTAAAGTCAAAGAAGTGCCTACACTATAGTATAGAGCCTTCATATTCAAACACCCAAAACAATACACAATACATCAGAGATAGTAGGAACTGCAGATGCACAATACATGTTGTGATAACAAGGTGTAGAGCTCTACACCTTGTTGTCTCAGATTCTCCAGCATCTGCAGTTCCTACTATCTCTGAAACAATACATGTTGTCATCTTTTCAACTCAGCATTCAATCAGGAGATACAGAAGAAATTCATGTTACATCTGAGTGGAAATGTCCTTGCAACTGTAGCCCTAGGTTCCAGTGCAGCTGCAATTGTACTGACAGCATGTCCAGATGATACCGTTCTGCATTTGCATCTTTGATGAGCCAGATTCTGAGAAACAATTTGATGTGCCAGGTCTTTGAGAAATGGTCAGTGACATCTTGAGAGGAACAGTCTATCAAGGCTGTATATGCTCTTCATCATCCTGCCATGTCTTCTTTAACGCGATACACTAAAACATATGGCATGCTGTATTTGGAGTTATTTTAAACTGGGTATAGTGATAATGGTCAGTTATATATTTCTTTTGGAAACTGAAAGTGTACAAACAGGTGGTTTGATTCCTGTTAATGGATGTATCAGAAAGGAATTAGTCAAAGGGTATGAAGAAATTAGACATCATGCCTTTCTGGCATCACTCCATGATTCTTCCTTTCCTCAGGTATTGGCTTTGGCTCAATGTTTTGGCCCATTTCTGAAGAAGGGTCCCGACCCGAAATGTCAGCTTTCCTGCTCCTCTGATGCTGCCTGGCCGGCTGTGTTCATCCAGCTCCACACCTTTTTATCTCAGACTCCAGCATCGGCAGTTCTTACTATCTCTCAATGTTACTGTTCTTGCCTTTGAGTCAGAAAGATATAGGTTCAAGGCACACTCCAGAGTTTTGAACACTTATTCTAGGCTGACTAAACAATACAATATATTATGATCCCAACTGATGTTATTACAGGACACATCAGATGCCAGACAGTAATCTGGCTTGATAGATCATATTTTGATTTGTTTTGGTTTTAACAAAGTGGTTTCTGACTGAAACATAGGCACACAATGCTGCAGATTTTGCTTCAACAATAAAACAAGCTTATCCACAAAAAGGAAGGTGGACAAGATAAACTAAACGAACCCACCAACATATATCAGAAATTCAAAGATTTTAAAGACACAGTAAAAGCGTAATTCCATTAATCCTAAAGCACTCCTTTATAAATTGAAGAAAAAGACAACAGCTTTTGTACAGCACCCGAGATGCATCCCTGATACAGCAGCCAAAATACCACTCATACAATATTCATGGCAGATTCCCTGTACCCAACACCTCAGTAGGTTTAAGGCATTTGTGGCTTTGACTTTTAGACTGGAATTACAGTTAGCTTTTCTCTGGAGCTACCATAAACCTGAACATTAAAGTAATCAACTTTAAGTAACATGTTCGGGGCTTTATCCCAACACTTCTGGTCTGGGGTGAACACTAAATCCTCATTCTAAGGTTCATTATATGACCTTCCCTTCTCAGGAGCACTGGTTCTCACAGACATCCTATTTCAAGCATATCACAGGACTACTCCACACAAACTAAAGAAGTGAAGCTAAAGGTCTCCCTTTCTAAGCTATGATACTTTCTTTAAGTTTTAAAATACAGGTCCAGACAGCTCTACCAAATTTTGAGGCCCCATTATTTACCTTCCTGGCTCGCAAAACGATCTAAAATAAACAGAAGTCCATTAATGGTGCATAAATCCCATTCATTCTAAAGCCACCTTGAACAGAAATCATCATTGCTACAGAGATACTTACAAGTTACTGATTACCTCGAGATACAAAGAAAAACCACCAGTTACTAATTCAAAACCCAGAATCTCAAAACTATAACAAATAATATTGAAGAATGTGTATCAAACCCACAGTTAGCATCACAAGTACTTCAATGATGCACCTACCTACATTGTTTTAGGGCTATAAACCCAAACCTAGATCAAGCTAAGAATTGGATAGGATTGGAATAAATGAAAATCAAGTAGAACAAATTTCCACCTAATTCCAACGAAAGCCATGTGCCTTCTGCACCTGCTTTTAGAATGCAACCGAGATGAAAATCAACCCCAACATAATGGAAATGAGAAATTAATAGAAAGAAAGTCATAAAATAAGGCCATAAAGATAGAAGGCCATTAGGAAGGAAGGCTGATTATTTTGGTAACAGCAAAAAAATGTCTCTTGCCTGTTCTCCATCATCAATCCAATAGAACTCAACGTGAGTATTATATATCCAATTCCCAAGAGGATTGTGAATTCTGATAGAACCTATTTAAGCAAGCAAAAACAAATTCTCCTTTAAAAGGAAACTGAGGTTGACATCATTGGATTAAAAGATTTAAACACATTTAGAAACAAGTCTGATTCAAAATTATATGGCAATTTAGAAATACACAGTATGTCTTCAGGGCATAACAGCATAGCATCCATTTAAAACACACAAGATAAGTTACAATATGTTATTTCATTTGGCAATCCTATTCATTGTTACATCTTAATTTTACTTTGTTTGCATTGGGAATTTAGAACCATTTCAGATCATATTCATTATGCTTCAAGATGCTGAATGTTACGCAATGAACCACAAATAAGTTGAACTAAATTTCTTAATGTTGCAATATAGAAATGGGAACCAATACACCAAAGAATTAGAAAAGAAAAAAATTCATATTGCATCTTATCAAATCCTCAGATAATTCCAAAACACTTTATAGCTAACAAATTACTTTGATTTTATGCAGACAAATGCACTTTTAGCAGGGTAATGCCCGACACGAAGAAAAAGGACAGTAACTAACCTGGTTAGTGCTGCAAACAGACAAGTTGTCATCTTGCATCGGGACACACACAATGTCAAATTTCAAAAGATCACAACTTATTATACTACAAGAGAAAATGGTGATAATTGATTGGCAAGTCAATTATCATTGGCTGAGGCATTGCCATGTAGAAAGCAACAGGGAACTTTGGACTCCCCAAATCTCCTGGATAATTTGAAAAAGCACAAACTGAAACAATTCCTTTTGCTGTGGTAATGATGTCAATTATGTAAGCTGTGCGTCCCAATGATTGGCTGACTGAATAGACAACATTGGTTCTGTGCATCAAGCAGAACACAGATCATATTGAACCAGTCTACACTTGCAAACTCAAAACAAACATCTACTGTTTGCTGCAGAGATAGTAGGAACTGCCGATGCTGGAGTCTGAGATAACAAGGTGTAGAGCTGGATGAACACAGCAGGCCAGGCAGCATCAGAGGAGCAGGAAAGCTGATGTTTCGGCTACAATCAACTTAAGATAGTGGAGTTTAGAATATGGATCACTCAAACTTGCTCAAGGTGGCATAGTTTATATGACAGAATGCGTTCTTTGTGACAAATTAACATGGGTTTTATTTTTAACAAAGCTCAGTTACACTCCCATGCAGGACTCTAATCTGAGGAATAGAGTCTGAGAGACTCTATTCAAACTGCCATTTGGAAAACAATAATTCATGCTTATATCCATCAACATATTGAGGTACCCCTGTATCTGGATGCTCCATGGGTATTATAACAAGATATGAAATTGGAAGGGCTGAGAACTTTCTATTTCTGCATAGAGCCCAGGCAGCCAAGCTGCTTGAAAAAAATACCAGAAATCCGAGGATGAAATAACAGGGATGGTCACTAAGGTTCAGAGGTATTCATGAGCTCTCCTGAGTTTTGTGTTCAAAGAATGGGCATTTCCAGAGTGTAAAGGGCATAAATATCAGCACCTAAATCTTTGTAAGTTAACTCTAATGCAATTTTGTAACTATTTCCAAACATCTGGTCATTACAATGACATTTTTTTGTTTTGAACACACAGTAATCATAAATTTGTACAAATGCTCATACGAATTAGGGACTGGAGTAGGCCACTCAATGCTTTGAACCTGCTTCACCATTCAATAAGACTAATGGCTGACTTGATTATTCCAAATTCCCTTCCCCAATACAACCTTTAACTTCCCTGTCTTTCAAGAATATATCTACCCCTGCCTAAAAATTTTCAAGGACACTGCTTCCACCCCCTTTTGAGTTTCAAAGATTCAGAATTCCCTTTGGGGAAAAAAATCTCTTGGTTTGTTTCTTACATGGGGATGATTCCACATGTTTAAACAGTGATGCCTAATTTTAGATTTTCCCACAAGAGAAAACATTCTTTCCATATCCGCCCTGCCAAGACCCCCCAAGAATCACACATGTGCAAATCAAGTCTTACTCTTCCAAGTGCCGGATGATACGAGCTTAGCCTGTCCAACCTCTCCTTACCAGACAAACTGCTCATTCCAATATTAGTCTAGCAAATCTTCCCTGAACTGTTTCCAGTGCATTTAAATCCTTCCTTGAATAAGATGACCAATACTGTACACAGTACTCCAGATGTGGTCTCACCAACATGCTGTATAGCTGAAGTATAGTTTCCCTACTTTTGTAATCAATCCTCCTTGCAAGGAACAACTATTATTTGTTTTCCTAGTTACATGTTGTACTCACATACTAACACTGTGCAATTCATGCCCTAGGATATCTAGGTCCCTCTCTATCTCAGAGATCTGCAACTTTTCACCTTTAGAAAGTTTACTTCTTAATTATCATTGCTGTCAAACTGAAAAATTTCATCTTTTCCCACATTGTACTCCATTTGCCAGATCTATGCCTACTTATTTAACCATTTATATCCCTTTGTGACTTTCATATATCCTCTTCATAACTTTTTTACCTACCCATCTTTGTTTCCACAGCAAATTTATAACTCAACCTTTGGTCCCTTTGTCCAAGTCATTAAATAAACTGAAAAAAGCTAAAACCTCAGCACTGATCCCTATGGCACCCCACTCATTGATGGCAGAGTGTTCCCTAAAGTATTACAATAAAGTAAAAATACTTACAGGCTTATTAGCAAATATGTGTAAGTAAATACCCAGAATGAGGATAAAATGCAGAACTGCATACAATTGAAGCCAAACAGGGATTTGGGGATGATGTGGAATTTCATTTCCAGTAATCTGAAAAAAACAAGAAATTATTTTAATTGAGAAAATATTTGTAAACAATGTTGATAAATACTCACTGTTGTAGTCAGAGACATTGTTCCCTTTTATTAATTTTGCTTCAGTCTATGCGACGTCAAGAAATGACAACTCTCTTGAACACCAAAGTCTATAGGTCACATCCATATCTCAGCTGCGGTGTTAAACACCAGAATTAAACAGCTCTGATCAATGTTCATTGACTTGAGCTAATAACTCTGCTTTTCTCTTCACAAATGTGGCCTGCTTTCAGTTTCATTTTTTTAAAATTTCAGTTTTCCAGCATCCACATTATTTTACTCTTGTGCCATAATTTGCCAATAAGATACTCGATTTTCCAATCCCACTGATTTAAAAAAAACCGACTTGAGAAAATTAATACTGTTTCAGCCTCCTTTCAATCATCAGCAGTGATAAAATTATCAATCAAGGATTCCCACTCACCAAAATCACTTGCTCCCAGGCACTTCAGCAGGAGTTCCTCAGGTCAATGTTATTTGACCAATCATCCACTTCATCATTGACATTCCTTCCAGCATAAGGTCAGACTTCAGATCTATTTACAATTCCTCCAAAAATGAAATAGCCTATCACAGCTGTAGTAGGACCTAGACAATACCAGACATGGCCTCATAGCTGGCAGGTTGCCCTCATATCATGCAAGTGCACAAGAATTGTTGGCTGACTATCTCCAACAAGAAAATCCCAAACACGTCCTTCAGTCCTCAGGGATATATGCATTACTGATCCCACAAACACGAAAATTGTGAGTTCACTATTAACCAGATGTTTACCTGGATCGCCTCATATTCACACCACAGCTACAAGGGCAGGGCAAAGGATGTGGGCTCTGGGCAAAGGATGCACCTCTTGACTCCTTAAAGCATTTCCATCATTCACAACACTCATATTTGAATATGATGGACTACTAACTACGTGTCACGATGAACTCAGATGCAAGAAGATCCAAAAACATCCAAGGAAAAGTAGTCTGTTTCATCAGTGTCACAATCATTGGACTTAATAGCCAACCTTCCATCCATTCTTGGATGCGTTGCAGTGACTCAAGAAGGTCACCTTCACTCACACTTCCCTTGATTGTGACCATCATCATCATGAACAACGAACAATGTTTAAGAACATCACCATCTCCAAATCTCACACAGCCTTGACTTGTAGCAATATTGTTAATATTTCACTACCATATATCATTATGAGAGTTTCGTAAGGACTATCTGGTTTAAGAAAGCCAATATCACCGACTGAAGACATTGTGGAATGGATAAGAAAAGCAGTCTTTCCCACTTAGCCAAAGTTTTGAGCTTTTTTCACATGGTAAGGTTCCAGCAAAGATCAACAATTGCACTCATTTCAATTAAGTGTTTTCCTCACAACTTAAGTTTTAGTTTTAAGATTTTGCACTGCAACATGTTTCTAGATAGCCAATCCATGAAGTAGCAATCACTCTAGAAATCACAGTGGATACTGGAACAGCATTCTTTATTTTTATCTTCCTTCTTTGTATTGTGTATGTGTCTGAATGAGGGAGAAGAAACTCAAAAAGCTCAGGAATATGTCATACTGTGGTGAAAATATATTACATAACAATTCTGCCCAGATCTTCTTGTGCAAAATTACATGAAGCCAACAGTCAATGTCTGCTGTACTTCTCAGTAATCTTTCATTTCAGTGTTTTCTCCACTTCCTTGTGGAAGTCCTGTCTTATGAAATTTCTAACAATTGGGAGTTTTCAGCACATCTAAACAATGCTGTTGTAGGGCAGGGCTTCATCAAACTTGCGAGACCAATTTCCTCTGATTGTACTTTTTGGACTTTACATTGGTTCCTCTGTGGTTAGTTGTGAATGTTTTCTTAAAAGCATACTTAACCTTTGCCCTATTAAATAAATGGAGCCAGTTCGTGATTACAGCAGTTTGAGGATCATTTGTCAAGCGCTTTCAAGATACAATGTCGCAAAATAACCACATGCTCTACAGAATGCACAATGACAAATTTCTGATTATTTGTATATGAGTAGTCATTAAAAGAAGAGCACTGTATTTTTGCAAACTTCCTAGTACATGGTATAGAATAGGCAGCGAGTAACTAACAAAAGATTTTAAGTACTGTGTAGCTGTCAGTCTGTCTCAAGATGGTTAAATTGTACAGGTGGTTGAAATCTTGAATCGGAGCAGTGGAAGGTTTGGATTAAGCCAGCATTATGTCTGCCCTGGGAATGCAAAACAGGCAGAAAAGCAGGAGTTTTATTTGTTGTCAGCCTCAGGGGAAGCACTGTGCCTCTGCACTGTATCTATACTGAGCTGTCTTCTTGAACTGTGCAGATTTGATTCCAGCACAACCACTCAGCTCCTAATCTTGTTACAGTCTTGGCCCAAACATGGACAGAAGAGCTGAGGTGAGGTGAGAGTGACTTGTTCTTGACATCAAGGTTGTGTTTGACTGAGTTTGGCATTGAGAAGCCACAGCAAAGTTAGAGTCATTAGGAACAATCTTTTGATAAGTCTGAATTATAACTGGCACATTGGAGGTTGGCTGTTGTTGTTGGAAGTCAGTCATCTCAGCTCCAGAGCATGTCTGCAAGGGTTCCTCAGGTTGGTGTCCAGGCCCAACCATCTTCAGCTCCTTTATCAAGGAGCTTCCTTCTGTCATAAGGTCAGATGTGAGGATGTTCACGGATGATTACATAATGTTCAGCACCGTTCGCGATTCCTCAAATACTCCTCAGATATCAAAAATGCAGCAAAACCTTGACAATATGCAGACTTGGGCTGAAAAGTGACCAGTAACATTCGAGCCACACGAGTGCAAGGCAACGACCATCTCCAACAAAACAGAATCTAACCAATTCCGCTTGACATTCAATAGCAGTATATCACTGATTCCCCTATCAACATACTGGGGGTTACCATTGACCAGAAACTATAAGCTAGACTATCCATATAAATTCAATAGGTACTAGAGCAGATCAAGGCTGGGAATATTGCAGCAAACAACTAACCTCCTGACTCTCAAAATCCTGTTCATCATCTGCAATGCACAAGTTAGGAATGTGATGGAATACTCCCCACTTGCCTGGTAGAGTGGAGCTCCAACAAACTCAAGAAATTTGACACCATCCTGTACAAAACAGCCTGCTTGTTTGGCATCCACAAATTTCAGTCCTTCCACCATCAACACTCGGTAGTAGCAGTATGTACCATCCATAGTATACACTACAGAAATTCACCAACGTTTCTTAGATAGCATCTTTTGAACCCACAACTGTTGCTATCTGGAAGGACAAAGGCTGTAGATGTGTAGTAACACCAGCACCTACAAATTTTTCTAAGTCACTCACCATCCTGACTTGGAGATATATTGTTCACAGTCGCTGGGCCAAAATCCTGGAATTCCCACCAGAGTTTGAGGGTTTACTTACAGCTCAAGGACTGCAGCAGTTTAAGAAGGCAGCTCAACACCACCTTTTTGAGAGCAACTAGGTATGGGCAATAAATGCTAGCCCAGCCAGTGATGCTCACATTCCATGAAAGAATTTTTGAAAAGTCAATTTGTTTCAGGGACACCCACAGTGCCATTAGGGAGTTGTTATGCCATTAGTACAATCCTATTTTATTCAATATTTTTGTTGTACAGTGACAGTAATATATTTATTACATGTTTACCTTTTATAGTCACACAGCATCATTGCCAAACTTCTTTGTATATATGTAATCTGAGGTTTTTAATTTGGAATTTGGAAGTACATAAGCAGTTAAATTCTGCAATAATGATACGTCATGATATGAGTTAATGTTGCTCTTGTCCATTTCTGTCATTTGTATGCCTGACACCAGAGTCCCAAAACAACTGATCATTTCTGAGTTCAGCCAGAACAGAAGATTCCCAGGAGATGCTCTGGGGAGATCTTCAAAGTATCCTTAAAATTGGTCCAACATACACATTGACTCATGGGAGATCTGGTTTCTGGCAACCAAAAATGGAAAAGTGTCTTTCGGGAAGGCACCAAATACATTGAGAGATTTCATCAGCAATACTCAGAGATGAAGTCAAGTTGACAGAGAAACCTTCAAACAACCTTTCTTCCTAACCATCCAAGCACCACCTACCCCACATATGACAAAGTCTGCAAACTTTACATGGGACTTCTCAGCCATCCGAGACTGCACAAAACCAAAAGTTGAATCAAGTCATCTTTGATTCCAAAAGATGACCTAAGGGAGAAACAGACTTCTGCAGGTGTTGCACTGTTGTGTTGACTGTGCCATCTTTTGAAGGATGTGTGGGTCATGCCATCGAACAGTGACGATGCTTGTTCTTGATAAGTACATGCACATGCTGCGCTTTACTGTACGAAGATTTGTACTACAGTTCAACAGACTCAGAAACTCTCCCGAAGACATATCAGCAAGTCAGATCTCACCATACAGAAGGATTTAGACTTTGATAATCAACCTGTATTGCTCTGTTATGATTACCAAGACTATTAAGTCCTGATGTGGGGGACTTAAACCTGAAGCTTCTTGTCCAGATGTTACCACTGCGCCACAATTCTTCCTATTTGACAGGCAGGGTTTTATTGTTTCATAAATGCTGCTGGTTTAGTTTACAGCCACCTCGCTTTTTGTGGGAGATTCTTGCTTTGAAATTTAAGACAAATCATTAGAAACTACTTTTGTTACATTTTGTTCCAATTAATGCACAGGACCACACTAGATTTTTAATCAATAGCACTTCTAATGGGTTATGATATACATATTTTCGTTGAGGGTAGGAATTACTAGGTATAAATTGAACATCACCAATAGTACTGTTACCATCCATTATGTCCCGATATGTATTTTACCAAGTATGAGCAAAACAAAAAGAAAATCCTTTCAACATCCATTTCAAATCACCTACTTATGACTCTCCGAGACTGCATCATCATTATATGATTTCTCCTTATTTTGATAACCTCTTTGTAATGTTTTCTCTCAGAAAGTATCATCAAAGTTAAATGTGGACAGTTAATGATTGGAGTAACTTAAAGATATCATAGAGGCATAGAGTCCTACAGCAGGGAGACAGGCCCTTCGGCCCAAATAGGTCCAGGCTGACCAAAATGTTCATACACACTAACCTCATTTCTCTGCACATGGCCCATATCCTTCCAAACCTTTCCTATCCACGTGTTCATCCAAATGCCTTTTAAATGTTGCTGATGTACCCACCTTTAAATGTTGTTAGTGTATCCTCCAAAATGTACACATAAACAAACATTTTTAAGAAGAGTTATGCATCCAGTGTTTCCAAAACACGTTCCCCCTCTACCCCAAACCATGTGCTTTCTCTAGCTCCTAGCTACATTAAAGTCACTATGGATTAAACAAGGCCCAACCTTCACATCAGCAGCTAGTCCCATTCTCAAATATGTTAAGTAACCAGCAACAAGTTGACATATCATTAACATTTTAATATTGCAAATTTCTTGTTTCTGAAATACTTGAGTTGTACTATAATAAGTGGCACAGCATTAACTAACTATCCTAGATTGAAATTCTCTACCCAGTCCTTACCCTTCCATTTACGTAAATAATACTTTTCATTACATACTGCTGGAATGTCTTCAAGACACCCAAGTCTGGGTTTGCCTGGTTGCCATCCTGGCCCTTTGAAGAGGACAGAAATTTTGTTGCTTATGCCAGGTGTTGCCCAAAATGTCTTCCAAATGTAAAGCAAGTGATGGAATGGGAGAAAAAAAAAGAAATGTGAAAAATTAAACGAAATCACAAGATATAGCCACTATTGTAATCAGTTAGGGAATGAAAGGTTGTGGGGGACAAAAAACAGTCATCAACACCATTTTCCTGTCAGATCATCCATGATCTCATTGAATGGCAGAACAGACTCAATGGGATGAATGGCCTACTTCAGCTCCTTTGTCTTGAAGTCTTATTCGCCTCATTTTTCAAAATGCATATTCAAAGTTGAAAGTTAAGAAGCCTTATTGGTAAGTAGGAGAGGAATTTTAACCTCACAGCACTGGGGGTGCTGGAAGGGCAGAAGGTAGAATTACTTAAAAATTCTCCAACCTGACCCCATCATACCCACTTCAAACTTTAACAGAAGCAACTTGGGAACAGAGTTACCAGGTTCCCTCTCAGAATGCGAGTTAATCACTAAAACCTTTTAAGAAAGCAGAGTTCATCCATTTTGATTCCATTTTACTTTTAACACAGGAGGGACAATGAAGTATCTTTTTTGAATTATTTGTGGATCATGAGGAGTGTAAGGATATGCCTCAGTCTCAACATTCTCGCTTTCACATTCGCTGTAACTGGTTAGCCTACATTCCCTGCACAAGATTTGATCCAACTGCCAGCTCTACTGTATCCAAATCATCACTCCTCTCCAACAATATCAGACTTAGCTAACATTTACTCCCTGGCCCTTTCCAGTTCGACAGACTGCCAACCTATTAATCAGGCTGGCTACATATGGGAAATTTTTTTAAAATATCTAAAATGTATCCAGCTGTTAAATTTGAAAAGACATGTGGGAAAGCCACACTTCTGGATTTCCCTTCTGAAAACATTCTCCCCTTTTGCAATTTTCAGCGTGGACTAAAAATTAGGGTTAACAGTTTGGTTAATGTCAGAAATCATATCAAAGTCATTGTTATCAACATACTTATGGTCTATTAGTTTTTTTTATAAATTGCTGTCTTTTTTGGAAAATACGTACAACATGCAACAATCCATCACTAATCTAAAAATAACATGCTCTCAAAAAAAAATCACACATTGAATAAGATTGACTCCACTCACCATAAGACACTGATATATGCAAATGTACTGTGAGAATCATTTCAGGAGAATAGGTATAAAACAATGGTTTAGGAGGTACTATCATATTATAAGCTGTGTTCTCCATACTGACAAAATTCTAGATGTGAAAATGTCAGTTGTAAGCTACATCCTTGAGGGTGGAAAGATCATTACCATTGCTAAAATCAGCAACAAGAACAGAAACTGCTGGGAAAACTCAGCAGGATTTTGAGAAATTTCTGTTTTTGTTTATGATTTCCAGCATCTTTTGTTTTTGTTCCTAAGATCAGCAAGATGCCTTTCTTGAGATGTCAAGTACTATAAATCTATTGGGGACTTGCAATATTACAAGGGCCCTTGAATTATGTAAGGGAGACTGGTAATACCATTAATAGCATAACTCCACATTTTCTTGGGATTTTGCAACTCTCCCATTAATCTCAACAGAAACATACATTTAAGGAACAAGAGTAGGCCACTTGCCTTTTCAAACCAGTTCACCATTCAATAAGCCAATGGCTGATCTGATTTTAACCTCAAATCGACTTTCTTCCATATGCCCAATAATCGTTCATTCCCTTGATAACTAGCCCCACCCACATATCAAACATAACGGTGATCATTATTTTATACATCTAAGTCAGTTTACAATTTGATGCTACTTAGATTTTATAACAATGCATAGGTATTCTGGCAGTGATGAGATTTAAGCCTGAGAGTTTGGGAAGAAAATTAGACTGTCAAAATCAAACTGCATCTAACGGATGATTTGTATCCCTTACTAGGAAATTTGGTTATATATTAAAGATCTGGATGAAGGATCTGAGAGCATTGCTGCTAAGTTTGCAGATGACACAATGATGGTTGGAGGCCAGGGAGTGCTGAGGAAGTGGAAAGGCTGCAGGATTTGGACAGCCAAGGAGATCAGGCAAAGGAGTGGCAGATGGAATGCAATGTGGGAAAGTGTGAGGTTATGCAATTCGGTAGGAAGAATAGAGGCAGAAACTATTTTCTAAATGGTGAAAGACTTTGGAAATCTGAAACACAAAAGGAACTTGGGAATCCTAGTTCAGGATTCTTTTCAGGTTAATATGCAGGTTCAGTTGGCAGTTAGCAGGCAAATGCAATGTCAGCATTCATTTCAAGAGGACTAGAATACAAGAACAGAGATGTATTGCTGGGGCTGTACAAGGCTCTGGTCAGACTGCATTTGGAAAATTATGAGTAGTTTTGGGCCCCTGTGCCTAAAGAAAGATGTGTTGGCATTGGAGGGGGTCCAGAGAAGGTTTACAAGAATGATCCTGGGGATGAAGGGCTTGTTTTATGAGGAGTGGTGAAGAACTCTGGGTCTGTACTTGATCAAGCTTAGAAGAATGAGACGGAATCTGATTGAAACTTACAGAATACTGAGATGTGTGGGGGAGTGGATATGGAGCAGATGTTCCCGTGAGTTGGAGGGACTAGGACCTGAGGGTGCAGCCTCAGAGTGAAGGGATGACTCTTTAGAACAGAGAGGCTGAAGAATTTCCTCAGCCAGAGGGTGCCTAATCTGCGGAATGACTGAATCTCAGCCATGATCCAATGATGGAGCAGACTCAATGGGCTGAATGACCTAATTCTGCTCCTATGTCTTATGGTGCTGTAAATTTGTATACTGGGAGCATTTCAAATCATAAAGGAAAATGGCTATTTTAACTCACTTACTCAGTGCTTTGTTTATCGCAGTAAATTGTTTATCATCATGCCCCATGAGCATAGAGGTGTACTTGAGCAGCAAATCATTGTTTAATACAAAGCTCAATTGTCAATTGAATCCTGTTGGAGAGATTGTACTTCTACTTCTTGAAAGGCTCCTGTAGTTCTAGATGGTGGATGTGTTATCATTTTAACTCTCAGTGCACCAAGTGTCTCATGCTGTATTCTCATTAAAAAGTACAGGAGTAAGTTGGCAATTGCAAAGTTGATGCACAAGGTAGGAAGATGTATTTTATACATCATCAATTTTGCAATTTCAGGAAAATCTGTGCACTTTTTTTCTTGCTGAGCAACTTAGGCCTTTGCCTGCCTCTTCACACATCCTTGAGTGTGAGATTTAGAATGCTGTCTGAGTTCTGAGTTCCAAGTATCAACAGGATGGCAAACAAAACCAGCACAATCCATATTGTTTTGAAGTGTGTGGTGTAGTCTTGTAACTCAAACCAGGCTGCACCGCTAAAAGTCATGTTTCTGAAACAGGAGGGCATAACATCACGTTCTCAAATAAGACTCCTTTTGCATTTTGGAGTGTTGGTACTGCTAATTAGAATGTCAGCTTTATACATTCTAACGATTCCAAAGCATTAAGTTATTCCCCAAAACGGAAACTTGATAAAAAATAATTGGCAGCTTAAAGGCCTCAGTTGTAGGGATAAGAGTGGGCAAACCTCATCTATTGCTGCCCTGCCTGGCATATTGCCAACATGTCAGCAAAAAGACCTCCTGGGGAATTGTACTGGGCAGTTACCTCTCACACACCTGCAATCATACTGATGGGGAATGGTAAAAGACTGAACCAATAACAACTAAATAAATTGATTTTCTTGAACTTTAAATACAAAGCAGTACTTTACAATTAATGGGTTGCAACCCAATCAGAAATATGGCATTTATTGCTGTTGGATCAAATACTAAACTGCAAAAGTATAATGTACAAAACATGTTAAGAAGGAAAGGGTGATGAAACAGGAGTGAGTGCAATCCCAGAGGGTGAAATGGATTTTCATACTCATGTATACTCTGTGGAGGGGGGAAAGATGGCATCCACGACTCAATTCCAGGATTCCTAATCCATCCTCAGGGTTTAAAAGTTTTAGCTGTTCCTTTTAATGGTGCAGGTAGGTTTGGGTCACAAAGCTTCATCCTGACTTGGCCAGTTCCATTGCAGAGATAAGCATGATTTAGACCTCTGCAATTTTACTGGAGTTGACCCAGTTTTTCAAACACTTGTGGTTCACAGCACCTCAGAAGTGTCAACAATAGCCTGGATGGGGAAACAGTATGAAAGGAAAGTTGAAAAGATCTTATCTATAGCCCTCATGCCAAGGATATGTCACCCACCCATCTCCAAAGGCCTGTGACACCCTCCATGTTAAGCTACACATTTCCATGACAACAAGGTGCAGGGCTGGATGAACACAGCAGGCCAAGCAGCATCATAGGAGCATGTCCGTTCAACAGCTATACTCTGTATAGAACCAATGCATCCTATAGTGAGAATAGGACATGCTACAAAAGCTTTACAGTAGCAATAGTAGAAACTGCAAAAATTTGAAATGTCTTAATTGAGTATAAATAAGGACTGTGCAGTTAACAGAAGAAATCAGAGAATGATAGCTGTCAAACAAGCAATGTTTTCTCAGGAGCTCAGTTTTATTTTTAATAATCTAATAGATGTCTGGGCTTTCAGCCAAGGAACATAATGTGAATGGTCTGGAGTGGTCAGGACTGTATTGTTCAAAGTGCAGTTGGCAAACCTGAGCAGTCTGGTGCATGTTAGCGCGCAGCTGTGGAGTTCAAAGTTCATTAAAAGGAATTTTTTTTTATGAATTGAAAATGTGCAGGTACTCACATAATGAGAAGGTTGGAAGTGGGTAGCTGAATCTATTTGACATTGATGCAAGTTTTGCTGCAGATCTTTAACTCAGCAAAGATGTTTGCAGCACACCTTAGGGATTCTCAACTGGAGAGAGCAGCCTGAATCACGCACAAAGCCTGGCAAAGAAAGGGTTTTCCCAGCAGAGAATGAAATTGATTCCTGAAGTCTCAGGAACTCCAGAAACGTAAAGGAAACTTAAGAACGATGCAACCTCCTCTCCACCCTCACCCTTGCTCCAAGCCCACAGGGTTTTGACTCTTAACTGAAGGACCTGCTGAGGGACTGCACAAATATGTACCTAGTACAGGGGAAAGAGACCCGCTTCTTACAATAAGATTGATGGAAGTGAATAAGGAAGTGAGAAGCAGAAATTTGGTTCTTTAAATCTGGAGATTGTGCCCAAGATGTCTAAGGTCTCCGGCAGACTGAAAAGGTGAACAAATTAGCACAAACAGAGGATGAGGCTCACACTCCAGCACTTTCCTACACAGCACTCCACAGTACACACACCGTACAGCTCTAATAATTTAAAAACCGTAAGAACTGCGGATGCTGTAAATCAGGAACAAAAACAAAAGTTGCTGGAAAAGCTCAGCAGGTTTGGCAGCATCTGTGAAGAAAAAATCAGAGTTAACGTTTCGGGTCCGGTGACCCTTCCTCAGAACTGATGGTGGCTGGGAAAATGTCGCTTAAAATGCAGAAAATAGGGAAGGGAATGGGGTAGGGAGTAAACAATAGGATAGAGCCCAAAGAGAGAGAAGAGCAGTTGAATAGACAAAGGAGGTGATAATGATCTGGCTAGGGGGGTGAATAATTGTTAATCGGGACTGTTAGTGACTAACAATAGATAGTGTGTAATGACAGGCTGTGTGATAACAAGGCCTGGGGTGTAGGGTAGGGGGCTAGGAAATGACAGAGTTTAGGCCCTAAAATTATTGAACTTGATATTGCATCCAGTGGGCTTGTAGGGTCCCCAAACGAAAAAATGAGGTGTTGTTCTTCCAGCTTGCGCTGAGCTTCACTGGAACACTGCAGCAAGCTTTAACTTCCACTTTAACACACCACCCTGTTCCCTGGCGAATATCTCTGATTCAAGCTTGCTGTAGTGCTACAGTGAAGCTCAATGCAAGCTGGACAACACCACTTCATTTTCCACTTGGGGACCCTGCAGCCCTCCGGACTCAATATCAAGTTCAATAATTTTAGGGCCTAAATTCTCCCATATCCTAGCCTCCTAACCCACACACCAGGCCTTGTTACCACATAGCCTGCCATTACAGACTACCTATTGTTAGTGACTTACAGACCCCATTTACAACTATTCACCCTCCTAGCCAAATCGCTATCACTTCCTTTGTCTATCCAACTGCTCTTCTCTCTCTTTGGGCACCATCCTATGGTTTACTCCCTACCCCACCCCCCTCCCTGTTTTATGCAGCTAAACCAATGTTTTCCCAGCTACCATCATTTCTGAGGAAGGGTCACCAGACCCGAAATGTTAACTCTGATTTTTTTCTTCACAGATGCTGCCAGATCTGCTGATCTTTTCCAGCAACTTCTGTCTTAGCTCCAATCATTCCTCTTTCTTTGGTTATCTCCTCACACAACCTCTTGTGAACAGCCAATATTTGTCCTCAGAAATACCCACCTTGCCATCCTACCGGAATATTGTACTTCCTTGCTTCACATCATTGTTTTGCTATACTCTCAATTCTGCTTTTGGAGAGTCCACAACTTCAGGTTAAAGGTAGAGGACTGGGGAGGAGTAGTGCGAAGTGGGATCCTCCAAAGATAACATGCTTGACAATCACAAACAAAGCATGGCAACCCCTGATCTACTCAGAAGGAGTTGTTGCTCCAAGAGTTCCTGCAAATGCCAGCCAGGATTTGCTGTGAAAACGTGAACATTTTGAGGCAACAAAACTCAGACAAGAGCCATTCTCCTACTTACAGGCAGAGTACTGGGGAACTCATCCCTTCAAGTTAGATCTCTGGGTCAATTCCCCCTGTCCATGAAGCAGCATGTGGTAGAGAAGAAGGCAACTGGTGTTGCTACTGGAGCTGCTATTCCTTTTGTTCTTCAAAAGTTGCAGGAGATTTTTCAATATCACAGTGAAGGCTGACAGCAGTGAAATGAAGCTCAATGTACAAAGACCCCCAAACTGGTAAACTGATTTCTGACAGGTTGAATAACACCTAACAAGAAAGGAGATGGCTCTTTTAAATGACGTGCTGTGAGCAGAAGCCTCTTACCTTGGCAGAGAGGCAGCTATTAGGGCTCACTGTTTGAAGGCTTCCCACTCTGGTAGTTTCATTGAACAGTCAATGCTGTGCATATACTAGCCTGTCCCTGGTCAGTTGCAGATACCAGTGAACCAGTGAGTTTTTGTTAATGTCAGAATAATGAGTTAAATCCTCAGTTATTTATATCAGTGACTATTTCAATTGCTTACCCTGTCAGTTCTAGTGTGTTTTAGCATTTTCCTGCAAACCTGATGGGTTAAGCCTCATACTGGGTTAGGTCATTGGCTGTCTGACCCAGGGTTACCTTTCAGGCAACACTCTAAATTCTCCACCAGACCTGTACCCACCTTCCCTTGACAGCTCAATCTCTGCTCTGTGTCTATCGACCAAAGGATACAAATGTCACATTAGATTGAAAGAAGTAAACATATTAAAGAATGAACTTTTTAGGCATCACTAACTAGGACAGTGTTTGATACCCATCCTTAATTGCTTTTGAACTGAGTAGATTACTAATTACAGAGAGAAGTTAGAGTCAACAGTATTGTCATGGATCTTGGAGTCAAGTGTAGGCCCCATGAGGTAAGGACATTTGATTTTGTTACCTTAAGGAAATCAGTGAACTAAATAGGTTTTTACACCAATGTTAATAGCCACTGTTACTAAGTCCAGTTTTATATCTAAGGTTCGTTAATTGAATTTAAATTTCTGCAGCTATGATGGGATTTGAAACCTGTTTCCCACAGCTTTGGCATGCATTTCTGATTTCTCATCCAGCGATATTATTTCTATGTTTTCATTATGTCTCAATGAATCAAAATTTATTTAGCAATAGGTGCAACCAAAAAAAAATTGAAAATGGTAGAAAATTCATTCAGAAATTACAGAAAACGTTTAGATTGTCAATAAGGCTGCTCACTGGGTCAAATATATGATACTGCTTCATTTTTTAAAATATATGCTGGATCTATTGGCAGTCTTTATGTGAAAACTAGTTTGCATTATCTTTTTCAACTTTAGCCCTCATTTTAAATTTGCATTCTGTTAAATTATCTCAAGGGAATAATTTTAGCCTCACAACATGAAAAGCAATTTCTGATACAATACTGTAACAGAAGACTATGATCTTGAAACAAACTATACAGATAATTTTAATAATAAAGTAAAACATTTGTGTCAAATTAAGAAAATATGCACCTGCACCCATAGAGGTTCAAATGCGTTGATTGGGTGAGTCAAGCCAAAGATCACTTTCTCATTCTCTGGCGCAAAGGTACCTGTTTCACCAAAGAGAAATAGATACAGCCATGCATTATTCTGCTCGATTCCCTATTTACTAAAATAAAGGAATGTTAATAGCATTAAGGATTCATTTTGCTGCTATGTATTTGCTGTAAGTTATAAGCCAGTGAAGAAGTCTGTTACTTCCTAAGTTTGATAGTTAGACACTGGAAGAAACTCTTAAAAACACACAATTGTTGTTCATTAAGTTAATGGCAGTGCAAAATAAGAATTTGCAGGATCTATCAGAACATTTTCAAAATGCTTAATGCTTTTGAAATGTAAGAACTGGACTGTAGTGATGGGCTCAGCCAGTTTTCACACAGCCGGATTCTAATTATTCAGTCCGTGAAAACTTGGTGAAATCAGCAATTATGTATCATTTATGTTATTGTGCTTAACTTGATGAGTCACCATTACATAAACATGAATGAGGCTATTTTCATACATTTCATATTGACTTTGACATCTGATTCTGGAGCTCTACTGCAGGTGCTAAATGAAAATTTTCTTGATACCACTGTTCCAGAAAATAATCCTGTCACTCACTCATCCTGTTCTGTTTGTTTTGTCATACCACTTTGTTTCCTCTTTTCTGCCCCTTTCTTCTTCCATTTCCTTGATGCCATTGTCTCCTCTGCATTTTCTTTTTCTCACTAGTACATTTACTCATCATCTGCACATTCCTATCCCCTCTCTTATGGTTTGCCAAGCAATACATCCTCTGACACACATTCTCCCCTTCATCTCTTGCATCAACATTCTCCTTCCTATTTCCTCCTATGCTTTGATCTTCTCCTCAACTTGACCCCATTCCTTGTGTCTGTCTTCCCTCCATCTTCCTTTTCTCTTCCCCTCATTCCTTTCCATTTTCCTTTCTCTTGATGGTCCTCACATCTATCCATAGGCCGATAATAAATCACTTTGTTAGCTCAAACCCATTCCTTCAGGAAGGGCCTCAAGAAAGCCAACTTCACAGTTCATATAGGTGAACTAAAGCAAGTAAAATTTTAATTTTCATTAAATGTTTTTAAAAAATGTTTAGTTCAAATTAATATATGGCTGATCTGCATTCCTAGCTTTGAATGCAGGATTTGACCCCTTGGTTTATATAGCTGAACTAAAGCAAGTAAAATTTTAGTTTTCATTAAATGCTTTTAAAAAATGTTTAGTTCAAATTAATATATGACTGATCTGCATTCCTAGCTTCGAATGCAGGATTTGACCCCTTGGTTTAAAATGTTAAACACACTCCAAACAAAACGAATCTACAGAAATTCTCAGTCTTGAATCCTTCACCCTCTTCTGACATCATCTCTCAATGTGGTCCAGACTTTTCACATTCTTGTACTCATGTATTCCTGACCCCCTTACTCTCCATCGGAAAGGTCACATATTTACTTCTTGTACTTTCTGTTGTACTCCTTATCTGAACCTATCTGTTGCTGCTAAAATTCTCACGCACACCTTGTCACCTTTCGAACCAGCGATCCCAATGTTCTCTTTGGGATCTTCTTATCCTGCACCCTCTATAGGAGCAGATGGGAGCTATTCAGCCAGGCAAGTCTGCTCCATCATTTAATACAATCATGCTGATCAAACATCCCGATGCCTTTTACAAACCCATAACATTTTACACCATTGGTAGTCAGAAATCTATCAATCTCTACTTTAAGCATGCTCAAAAACTGAGCTTCCACAGCCTTCTAGGGTAGAAAATTCCAACAATTCACAGCTGTCTGAGTAAAAGAATTTATCCTCATCTTGGTCCTAACTGGCAACCCCTCTATTTTTAATTGTTCCCCCCAGTTACCCCTTAAGTTCCCATCCCATTGACAAGCTAGTTTAAACCCAACTCCAACAACACTAGATACCTCCTTGTATGAATATCAGTCCTGTTCAGATGTAACCTATCTAGTTTGTACACACCTCACCTGCCTCAGAACCTGTCCCAATTCTTCAGAAATCTTCAGTTCTCCAGCTATGTATTCGATCAACCAAACCTCCTGTTTTTATGTATGTGGCACTGGGAGTAATGCTGAAATGACTACACTTGAGGTCCAATTGCTTAAATTTCTTTCCTAGCTCCGTGGATTCTGCTTTCACGATCTGATCCCTGTTCCGATCTATGTCATTGGTACAAATCTGGATGAAAAAAATCTGTCTGATTCTCCTCCCCAAAACAATATCCTGCACTTGCTCCACAACATGTTGGTACTAGAACCAGGGAGACAACACATCCTCTTGCAGTCACATTTCATGCCACAGATATGCTTGTCTGATCCCCTGATTATGGAATCCCCTATCACTATTGCACTATTGCTCTTCCATTCTTCATCCTCCCTCAAGTACAACCAAGACACCTTGTGGTGCCACAGTCTTGGCTCTGGCTGCACTCCCCTAAGGAACCATGTTGGTCTTCCATTTTTGGAAACTAACTATAGCAATCAGCAAGCACAACTAACTTAGTGGACTTCTGAACTATGTGCCTAGTTCTCCTACATTGCCTGATGGTCACCCCTGCCTTCTCTGCCTGCAATCCTCTAACTCGTGGTGTGATAACCTTCCTACACATGCAATGTACGTAGCCCTCTACCTTGTGGATGCACAACAGATACTCTAGCCACTGCTGAAGTTCCAAAACCCAGAGCTCAAGCTTGTGCAGCCAGTAGCATTCCTGCAGATGCATTTGTCTAAGACATATTTTATGTCCATGACTTCACACATTCCGCAAGATGTACACTGCATTTGGCCAAGCTGACCTACCATCCTATAACAGTAAAAACTATTTGTTACCCTTAGAATAAGTATAAATTTATGATAAAACCTTATTGGAAATCTGACTTCATTTATGTTAACTTTATTATTTTTGTTTTACTTTATGATTTTAGTTTACTTTGGCTTGACTTGACTTTGCTTCACTTTTGTCATGTTCCTTAATGTAATCTAAGACATTATTCTTCATAAATTTTTTTTCAGTTTTAAGCGATTTAAACTCACTCCCTAACAGAAGCTTCTCACCAAACAATGCTTTTCAAGTTGACTTATGATGTTACTATTCAATCTTTGGTCAGAGTCAGTGTAGCTGCTCCTAGGTCACCTTTGATAAAGGTGTCTCCCATGGGTCAGGCTGTGTCTGCTCCTGAAGGTCCTGAGCCTAGCCCTCACTTTAACTGCTGCCTCAGTAAAGGCATACCCTGCAGGTCCTATTGTTTTCACTCCTGCAGGTTTTGCAGTCTCCTGGTTTTCATCTCTCTCATTCTTTCCATAAACTTCAACTAATACAAAACCTTGGTGCATGTAACATATACTGCAAGAGATCTAACTCATGCACTAACTTAAGCGACAAATGAGGTTTTTACATAAAACAACTTCAAGTTAAACAATTATAGCGAGACAAATCTGCACAAATGGGAGAACAATGGAGGCTAGGTCACTGAGTACATTCAAGAAAGAGTTTGTTTTTGGTATTAAAGGTTTCAAGTTGGGGAGAAAGTGGAAATATGCATTGAGATAGAGGATCAACCATGATCATATTGAATAGCAGAGCAGGTTTGAAGGGTCTATCCCTGGTCCTAATTTCTATGTTATCAAATCAGCTGGGAAAAATCACCTAATTACAGGACAGGAAGTAATCTTTATAAGAATAGAGTTCATGTGACAGCTGTGTAAGAGAAATGGTGACAGAACTAAATTCCTTGAAGTACATCAATTGGGTGTTGTTTACAAGATTTTTAATTCCTATTTTCTACATTGAGTGAATTGTTCACCCAAATGACACAAAGAAGGATGTCCGCAGGAAACTAGGCTTTTGAGTAAAGAGGTGAATTTTAATGGCGCAGATTATTATGACTTGTATAAAGGGAGGAGATTTTCCAGATAGCTTCATGCAGAGTCTGGCCAATCATTCATATTGGCAAAAAGTAATATAAATGTGGGGCAGGCAATTGCTTTGCATGGGTTTCAACAATAGCCTATTTGTAAGTAGTGTCTGGCCATACTCAGGATGACAGTTAACACCCCCGTGTCAACATTTTTAAAAGAAGTTTTGTGGCTAAGGAGCCAAAGACTTTTCAAAAACACACAGGACACAAAAAATGCCTGTCAAGAGCAAAGGGCAAAAAAAGAATAGTGCTTTTCCATCATGTAACAGTCCCACCCAATAGACTGAAACACACATGTTCTTTATTTCAGCAACAGTACATGAACCAAAAATTAACTGATAAATGGAATTCATAATACTCAAATTTTTTTTATGTTTTGTCTGCTTGGAATAAAACAACTTTTGCACCAAATCAAACAATGTCTTGCCTTATGTTAGCTCTGTCAGCTGCATAAGGCCCAAAGGATTAGAGGATTAGAAGATTTGTTGCTACATACCAATGCTTGCAGATGCAGGGCATTGTGAATCAACAAATGAAAGATAGCTAGGCAGTTTCAGGGAGTGACTGGCCCCAGTGAGTATTACAGGCAGGGAATGAGGACAAAGTTTTCAAAGCTTCAGTGCAAGTGAGATTAGAAGTTTGGTGCTAATTGATGCAGGATTTCATTGATTTACCATTTTCTGTCCTTATTTCAATATTTCCATCTCCAAATTGTTGAGAAATGAGGTCAATTGAAAACTTCAAAACTGAGATTGATGGACACTTGATACCCAAGGGCCAGACTACTTTCAGGCTAATGAAAGGTTTCCCCAAAAGGGAACCAATAGGGACATGCCCATCAGTTCCATGAGGAAGGCCTGATGGAATCAAATGCAAATCAGATATTTAATTGGGCACTCTCAGGCCATCCTATCCACCAATTAGAAATCAGCAGATCATCAGTACCCCGGGAGCCAGAAGGAATAAGTTGTTCTGGTGGCACTACACCAGTCTGATGTCCAGATCATGGAAGGATCCAATGCAAAGGTAAATGAAGATGGAAGTGGGTCATACTATTAGCGTCATGGGAGAGAGTTGTACATTCTATTCACAAAGGGAGGGAGGACAAAAGCAGGTGATTAGCCAAACATCTATTGTTGCAAAAAGTATTGGAATCATTTATTAAGGAAGTAATAGCAAAACATTTGGAAAATCATAATCTAATCAAGTAGAGTCAGCATGGCTCCATCAAAGCTAAATCAGGTCTAACTAATTTATTCAGAGATAGTAGGAACTGCAGATGCTGGAGAATCTGAGATAACAAGGTGTAGAGCTAAATGAACAATGAAGAAGGCCCGAAATTTCTGAAGAAGGGTCTAGGCCCGAAACGTCAGCCTTCCTGCTCCTCTGATGCTGCTTGACCTGCTGTGTTCATCCAGCTCTACACCTTGTTATCTCTAACTAATTTTTAACAGTTTTTTGTGGAAGTCTCAACTAAAGTGGATAAAGGGAAAACAATAATTGTGTTGTACTTGAACTTCTAGAAGGCATTCAACAAGATACCTCACCAAAGGCTAAATCATAAGAGCCCACAATGTTGGAAGTATTATGTTAGCATGGATAGAGAAATGGCTCATGGGCAGGAAATAGCGAGTGTAGATAAGGTGTTTCTTTTGCAGGTTGGTGACCTGTGACCAGTGGGGTACCACAGGGATCAGTGCCAGGACCACAACTGTTTCCAAAACATATAATGAGTTGGATGAAGGAAATGAATGTACTGTCACCAATTTTGGAGATGACTTGAAATGAAGTGGAAAGGCAGGCTGTGAGAGGGATACAAACAGTTTACAGAGAGATATTGATGGGTTAAGTAAGTGGGCAAAAAGTTGGCAAATGGAGTATAACGAGAGAGTATAAAGTTGTTCATTCTGGAAGGGAGAACAAAAAGGCAGGCTATTTTTTAAGTGGAGAAAAAATTGTAGAAAGCTGAAAGTCAAAGGGACTTTGGTGTAATTCTGCATGAAACACAGAAAGCTAGCACCCTGATGCAGCGTGTAATCAGGAAGGCTAATGGAATATTGGCCCTTATTTCAAGGGGAGTAAAGTATAAGAGTAAGGAAGTCTTATTGTAACTGTGCAAGGTGCTGGAGAGATCATATATGGAGTACTGTGAGCAGTTTTGGTAACCTCATTTAAAGAAAGCTATCATTTCATTGAAGGTTCAGAGAAGGTTCACTAGGATCACTCCTTGTCTAGAGGGATTATCTTATTAGCAAAGGCTAAACAGGCTGGGAGTGTACTCATTGAAGTTTATAAGAATGAGAGGTGATCTCATTAAACCATATAGGATCAACGTGGGGCTTGACAGGGTAAATGCTGAGAGGATATTTTTCCTCATCAGTGAGTCCAGGACCAGAGGACATAGTCTCAGAATAAAGGGGAGCCAATTTAAGACGAAGATGAGGAGGAATTTCTTCTCCTAGAGGGTTGAGAGTCTTTGGAACTCCTTGTCATAGACAGCTGTGGGTGCAGAATCCTTGTGTATATTTAAGTTTGAGATAGTAGATTCTTGATCAATAGGAGAATCAAGGGATATAGGGAAAGGGCAGGAAAGTGAACGTGAGGAATATTGAAACGGCCATGATCCTATTGAATGGTGAAGCCGGCTTGAGGGTAGTAGAATGACCTACTGCTCTTCTTATTTCTTAAAGTCTACCTGAACTTCTTATTTCTTTATTTTTCTAATTTATTCCAATGACCTGTAATGCTGGACTTTATATTTCTTGATTTTTTCATTTTTCCCCCTAAGAATTTGTACTAAATAATCTGTACCTAGGTAGCTTTGTACTAAGATGGCCCCATAAGTGGTGACTTGTAAACGTTTCAGTGTACTCATCTGAGTACACATGACAATAAAGTTAATTCTAATTCTGATTCTTTAATTCAGTGCAACCTTGATTTGTTCTCTTCACCACATACTTTCTTACATAGCTTTGTCGCGTAAGTTTAGCCACCAGGTCTTTCTTTTCACATCTAAGTCCTGGTTGTAAATTGTAAAAAGCTGCGGGCCCAGAGCAGATATGGGCAGAACCCCATTTGTTATATCCTGTCAATCAGAAAGAGATGCGTTCATAAATAGTTTGTTTTCTGACAGTCAGCCAACTTTCTATCTCTGCTAATATGTTATTCCCTACACCTCCCATTTGTGCAATAAACGTCTATGTTTCTACTTGTATTATACCTTTCAGAAACCCAAGTATAGTATGTCTACAGTACATAGGGGTACTGTAGTCCTTTATCCAAAGCTCATGTTAATCCTTCAAAGAACTCCCTCAAATTGCTTATACATGATTTCCCTTTCACAAAACCAAGCTGAATCTTCTCCATTAAGTTCAGTTTTGCTAGGATTTCCTAAGCCTTTTCTAAGCTATACCTCCTTAATGATAAATCTTACCCACAACAAATGTTAAGTGGATTATATTTTCTTGCTTCTGCCTCTCAAAATTCTTGAGTAGAGGGGTTATATTTGCTGTTTTTCAGTCACATGGAACCATTCCAGTATCTAGCAGATTTTGGAAAATCAACGCCAACATATCTACTACCTCAATTACTAATAATTTTACAATTCTAGGATGAAATCCATCAGGATCTGAGAGTTTATCCCTCCCACACCTTCATTAGTTTACTCAGTACTATTTCCCTTGTGATTGTAATTTTACTAAGTTCCTCTCTCCCTTACCACCTCCTGAAATGAGGCTATTACAGGTAGTTCTCCTATAACACGATAGTTGTGTTCTTGTGTGACCTCGCACTACAGAAAATCACGCTTATCGAAAATCGCCATAGAAAATCACGTTATTGGGCAATCGTTATAACTGTACAGCATAAAATTCACATTATCCAAACAGCGTCCACTGTTCATCATTCACGTTACAGCCAACTTGCATTAATGAAACACGCATTATAGCAGAACTACCTGTATTGGAATTTTTTTTGTACCCTCTATCGTGAGGACAGAAGCAAAATGTTTATTCATCTCATTTGCAACTTCCTTGTCATGGACTATTAAACTCCCCATTCTAACTGTCTCGAGGACTAACACTCTACTTACATTTTTCTGCTTTAAATACTTATTAAAACGCTTGCTGTTCAGTTATAAATTTTGAGCTAGCTTCCTCTCTTCCTTTCTCCTGAAAAATCTTTAAGCAATTTTGTTGTTCTTTACATTCTATCCAATCATCTGGCCTGCCACTCATCTTTGAATAGTTATGTTTTTTCCTTAAGTGTGATATTTTCCTTAAGTTCTTTATCTAACCACAAATGGAGGGACCTCCACTTAGATTTTTCTTCATTACAGTAAGAATATTCTTTGAGTTTTCCGAAATTTCCCCTCAAATGTTTGCTGTTGTGTTTCAGCTGATCTACCCTTAGCTGAGTATGCTTGCTTCAGTTCACTTCAGCTCGTTCAGATTTCACGCCCGCATAGATGCCCTTATTTAAGTTTAAAATACTAGTCTTAAATGAACTCTCCTCCCTTTCAAAATGAATATAGAATTCAATCATATTATGGTTGCTGCTAACTAGGGGTGTCTTCATTTGGAGATCATTGATTAATTCTGTCATATTGTAACACTAAGTCTAGTATAACCTGCTACAGTAACTGAAACTGCTGGCAAAACTCAGCAGCTCTGCCAGTGTCTTTGGGAAGAAAGCAGAGTTAACAAATTCAGTCTGGTGCCTGTCCATCGGAACTGATAACTAAAAAAAAGTGGTATTTATGTTAAGATGAGGTTGAAGGGAAATGTGAGAAGATAGGTGGAGATGGAGCTCAGAGAGAGAGACAGAGACAGGGACAGAGAAAGAGAAAGAGATGAAAGGAGGAGGCAGACAAGGGATTACTGACAGTAGGCCAAGACAGAACAGAAGCTGGATAAGTGATAACAAGAGCTGAAAGTAAGAGAGAATGGGTTGGTTGTGCTGAAAGCAACCCACGTCATGATAGGACCATGGTGTGGGAGTGGGTAAAAAGCATCCAGGCTCTACAGTTATTGAACATGATGTTGAATGCTAGAGGCTACAGGAACTCTAAGTGGAAAATGAGATACTGTTCTTTGAGTCTCCAATGGTAGAGAAAGAACCAAGCCATTTTACTCATCTTTCTGTTTATTGCGCATTTATGGAAACTTTCTTGGTTTCAATTTGTTCAATCTGAAGGATACGTGTAATGCGGAACTTTTAACCAGACGATATTAATTCAAGAGGTATGGTTCCTGTGAGATACTGGGTACAGAACCACCAACTATGTCAACCCCCTTAGTATGGCCTTGGTAAGCCAGTGGAAATTCTTCATCTTCACATTAATTCTCTGCCCTCAACTCCTTAAAAGCTCCTCAAAATGGAATTGAAAACTGGGTTGGGGGAGATTACAGAACAAGAATGCTATAGCAAATCTTTATAGCCTTTGAAAGTTTTCATTAGCTTGGATCTTTGTTGTGGCTTTCAACTGTCTGCTATGTGCTACTTTAAATACAGTCTTGTGAAGTGAATATTTATTACAATTAAATGTCTTGCACACTGTCCCAATGAATAGTCTTTGAGAGAATTGAATTTATACTAAAACAGACTAGTCGGTTCTACTTACCGAAAATCCTGTCCCAAATGATAAGAGTTCCAGCATAATTCTTGTCGATGCAGTAATGGTTCCGTCCTAAAGGAATGGGTTTGCAGAAACACACAAGTTATTTTAACAATTAGACGTGTGAAGTGTGCCACTCAGCTATACAAGCAAACCAAATAATAATTAAAACACCAAGGTCACGCCATTTTACCACGGATTCTTTGCAGTTTATATTCAACGTGCGACTATACAATATATATTTCAAATGAGCATTTGATCTTCTAAATCAATTGGAGCTGCAGTTACTGCCAATGAGGAATTTACTAGAGCAAGGGGATGTGATGGACGGCAGTTTCAGGAAGGTGGAGATACTGCAGATACAGTCAGGTAGATGGTTGACGGCTAGGAATGGTAGATGGTGGGTAGTGCAGGAGTCTTCTGCAGCTATCCCCATCCCAAATGCCATTTTGGATACAGTTGGGGGTGGTGAGGGGAGGGGTGGGGGCACTCTCAGGGGAATATAGTATTGATAGTCGGATTTCTGTTACTGTGACTGGCTCTATTGGAATGAGGGGTATGTCAGGTTCCAAGCCAAAGATTGTAATGGGGACTCTCTAGAATGGGGCACAGCCAGCTGTTTCATCAGCTGTCAGCAAGACAAATGGTGGCTGGTTTCGTGAGTCAGCAGTACTAACCACTGAGCCACCGTGTCGCCCCAATCAATTAATTATTTTATCAGTCGGCAAAGCAAGTTCTGTGATGGCTCAGGGACCAAGCTGTGTAAGTGGGTAATGGAACTAGTTTTCACAGGCCTTTGAGAAAGGTCTTTTGGAGAAAGAGAACATCACAGTGTTGAGACCAATGGTCCGTCTAAACTTGTGCACAGTGATCACTGTCAGCATGCGATAGTGGCATTGACTTCCAATTCCAAAGTTATTTAGTTCCAAAGAAAGTTGGAGGGAATGCTGGTTGAGACAGAAAACATCTGCATTGGGTGTAGCTTCCAGTATTGGTGTGGAAGTCAAGATCACAGAAAGCAAGGACATTGCATGGAAACTGTGATCTGTTGCTCAAACCTCAGAGGTTTAATGTGTTTTCAGATCTTTGTAAGTCAATGTGGTGTGAATGGACACTCAGCTCAGCTGAGTAAGAAAACTGATCCCAGAGGCTATAATACAAGGTGGTCAAAGAGAAAGCATGTTGGTAGAAACCACATAGTGTGCCCCAGAAAACAGCATCAATGAAAGTACAAAAACATAGTTAGCAGCAAGACAGTCCAAGGTGAGGCTCCAGAGTGGAAGAACCTTAAACCAACAGGTGAATAGGCTTTTTCACATTGTCCACACAATGTGCCACATTTACAAAGTCAAATAGTTAATTTCTTTTGCCACTGCTAATGTCACATGCCCAAAGAAAATGAACAAACACAGGCTCAAAACCAATGTCAACACAGGAACTAGTGTAAACATCCTACCAGTTGGAATCGTGAAGGACGTGTAGCTAAACTGTTGGAAATCCTGTGTTGATTTTGGTCTTAAGCCTGCCTTTGCTAATTTTCTTTTGCTATATGATAGCAATAGTGCCAAAATATTTTAACAGTTTGAGCTTGCCCACACAGACAGCAAAATCAGAGAACATGGGCTATGATGGGATTTGTTACAGAATTGGACAAGAGACCTGCTGAGAGCTTTCTCGTACTGGAAGCATTTTTGCTGCATCTTTTATGCTTTTGCCGAGTGACATCGTGGGGTTCTTGCAGTGAGTTGTCAATTAAGGGAAATTATAGCTAGTTAAACACCTTATTAGTCATATCATTAATATTCTGCATCCTATGTTACCAAATTTGCTGAATAAGCTGGACATCGCAAATTCTCATCACTAAAGTCAGAGCAGGTAGCCGTTGACTTCAGCTCACCACTAGCAGCAACGAGCACCTATCCTCATTCTGCTCAGCACCAACTAGTGTCTTAAGGTACTGTGCACCCTTCAACCATGGACATTGGCACCTGACACTTGCTAACTCCTCATGACCATCATGGCACCTCTCTGATCCACTTGCAGGAAGCATAGAGTTGCAATGCAGGGTGCACCAGGAACTAGCATTGAAAGGCTGCTGCAAGGACAGTTTGCGCAGCTGAACAGGCGCCAAACCTCATGGATTAGACCGGGCTGCATCATAAGGCTGCACACTTGGTTTCTGGGCATTTGCTGGCATAGGACTACCTGTGGGCTCACACTCTCCATGCCAATTATTGCAGTCAATAAACCAGGCAGCTAACCTGGTTGTGAAGCAGTCCTCAATGAAGAGGGCATAGATCTTGCTGTACAATAGCGTGCTAAATCACACTCTATGTGCCAGCAGCTTCCATGACAAACATACTACACATGCAGCAAGCTGGCAGCTAGGTTTCAAATTCTCAGGGGAGTGGTCATCATCAAAGTCCATGCAGGCACCTGTAAGTCAGGGTGTCCTAGGACCGTAAGCGTAGCTTTCTGTAGTGGGCCAAGGGATTGGCCACAGTCAGGCTTTTGGACAATATGTTTCCTGCCTCTGCAGCCCAGTGAGTGGTTCCTGGTCAGTCCCATGGCTCCACAGCAGCTGGTGTGGATTGGGGAGGTGGCAGTGCAAACACGGTCAGGGAGATGTACAGGCATTTTGAGTCAGGAGTCTGAACAATTCGCATCTGGGCCTGACTAGTTAGGTCACTCAATACCAGTACATTGGGTCCATTCACAGGAACTAAAGCCAAAGGGAGTAAAGGAGTATGGAGAAGGTGGGTGGAGGGGAGGTGATGCTGCTATGGGAAGAGCATTCAGGAACCTATTCTTCGAGATTGGGGCCTGCAGGTTAGAGGGAAAGGGGCTGAAAATTATGAATGGGAGCAACTGTATTTATAAGAGAAGGATACAGTAAAATATGGATGGTAATGGTGCCATGTGACAGTGGGTGGATATGTGGGGAGTGGTCTTCCATGGACGTTTGTATTTTGACTTCAAAACGGGATAGTCCATGACCACACCAGGCATGGCCGACACATATTCCAGGAACTGGGGACAGGGTTAGGGGGTAGTGCAGGCTCATGCAAATGGGTTGTCTGGGGATCAGGGGAGTTATGAAGCCTTTGCGGTATCAGGAAGGAGATCTGGATGTCCTGCGCCTCACTGACACATGGAGGCTTGATGAATGGCTGAAGAATGCTCAATGTCAGATTCCAATTTACTGTAAAATGGCAAGCACATAATAGGAACAAAAATGGCTACAAACACACTGAGAGGGTGGGGTAAATATTTTGACCTGTGAGAGAAGGGGCTGGAGGCCCTTGAAATGGAACCAACATTATATGTGTACCCATGTGCTATACAGGACTCTGACCTACAGGGTCCCTAATGCCTGACCATCCTAATGTATTGGCTCCCTGATTGCTGTATATCTCTTTGCCCTAGATCACTGACCACATCATTCAGACCAACATGCTTGGATGCAGAGGACAGGGAAAGGATAAGGCTGTTGTAGGTTAAGAGACAATGGTGTCAAAGAAGCCATGACACTCTACATGCCTTATTCGTTCCCTGTCTCATGAGGACGAGACGTCCAGAGTTCTCGCCAGGTTCCGCATCTCTCTCTCGCCATGTCTTCAGTCCCAAAGACCAATGGCTGACATGTATGCACCTCTCCTGCAGACCCTGAGAGGACCGGGCCTAGCTCCTCATGGCAGCTATCACCTTGTCTATGGCGGCTGCCAGACGATTGCATGAGTCACTGCACTCTTGCAGCTTCTGTGCAATGAGGGACATTGCATTCCACATACCTGTCTGCTCTTCCTGTTTTCTGGCATTACCAAGGTTTTATATGTAGCTATTTGGTAAGCAATTCAATGTGGAAGTCAATGCCAAACAAATGGAACTGATATGGCAAAAGTAAGAGATAGGCACACAACATGGATTGCAAGGACTTCTAGTAAAAGGTCAGGGGCACAACTTCAATGTCTACTACAACCTGGTCTCAAATGATCATTTCAGACGCACAGATTACAGGAATCAGGAATGCAGAAATTCCATTATACAATGTAGGTATTGAAGTGGAAGCTGTGCTCAAGGTCAATTGATGGGCTTTGGTCAACCCAAAGGCAACCAACTTTAGAAAGAAATGATGAATGGTCCATGGTTGAAGATATTGCAAAAGGTTTGAAGAGAACGATGGATTGATATGACCCTTGAGATTCCAGACACTTTCAAGGTTTTGGTCAACAGAGATGAACTAGCTATCTTTAGAGTGCAATATTTCTAAGGAAACAAGTAATTTTGCACAAACCTCTTTGACATGACATATCACAGTTACATGAGGACCATACAGGCACAGAGCAAACAAGATACCTGACATGGAATAATGTGTATTGTTCAAGTAGCAGAAATGACATTGAGGAAATAATGAAAATATGCGAAGGATGCCAGACCCACCAGCAATTAACACAATTAACTCAACACCCTCAATATACCATCATTTCCTTGGTTCAAACTAACACCATATATTGACCATACATGGTGATGATTTTCTCCTCATCACTGACTACCTTTCTACATTTCCACTCGTCAGATAATTGAAGGATACTTCAGTGAGTACCATATTCAGTTCAATCATGATTACTGTAGGGGTCGCGGCCAGTTTGGACAACAGGCAACAGCACACTGGCAGGTCTTTTAGATAAGTTGTGTCAATTGCAGCATAAACCATGTGATAACCTCACAACATTATAACTGATCCAAAGGTCTCACCAAGCAAATAATTTATATCATTAAAGTGTTAATCATGAGTTGCAGGTAAACTAGACAGGATCCGTATAATTCTAAGCCAATCCTAACAGCAACACTTCTGGATATGAGCTTAGCATCATCAGCTGAGATTTTATTTGGGGAAGGTAAGTTTGGTCAACCTGTCTAATTTTTCAGAGATAATTTTTTTGAAACTTCTTGACAAACAAGGGAGAATGAAAATGGTACAGGACAGACATGGAGGTACAAAACTGTCTAATCTGTGCATTGGACAGAAATGTAGAGGTATTCATCCTACCCAGGGAACCTGGTTACCTGCA